GGTCAAAACTGACTTTGTTTCCACGGGAAAATGTCATCTTTTTTTTTTTTAATGCCAGTTTTGCTACTTCCATGGGAGACCTTGAAACACAAGAAAAGGGAAAAAATTTTCATGGGGTTTAGATTCAAGTGGCTTCGTTTTTACTTCCAAAGCTGGAATGCAAGGGCCCGTTCATTTGAACACGACTCACATTCAGATTGGGATTAAATTGAAATGAAAAAGTTGTGCTTCAAAATTTTCCGAAGAGGGGAAATTCATTTTCATTCCAAAATTTTCCTAGGCTTGGGGGGAGAAATAAACCAAAACATGTTGTCACTCAGATCCAAACACGGTGTTTTGGTTCTGCCTATCGTATGGATAGAGCCCCCTCCATCACAAAATCCAGGTGGTCATTTCAAACCATTGCTGCCCACCTCCAAAATTCATAGGACTGAGACTTTAGTGTGGAATATAACGATAATCTCACCACATTGCTTTTTATCACGAGATCTGACAGCATTTTACAATATGGGTCTGTATCATTCTTTCCATTTGACAGGTGAGGAAACTGAGGCAGGGGGTGTGACTTATCTAAGACCACCCCGCATCAGAGCTGGGAGTAGAGTCCATGTTTCTGGTGGGCTAGATGAGGGCTCTAACCACTGATCCACACTGTCTTCTGTGTTACTACCACACAGTGCAGTTGTATTTTGTGCCCATCGGGGGGAAGGGGAGGGACAGAAATGAGGGGACTGGCTTATTGAGATATGCCAAGAACAGGCTTTGGGGGGGTTGGTCTTATGGTTAGCTAAGTTCAGCTCCTTCTCCTGCTGCCAGTCAAGCTGAGCCTAAACCCCTTTAACAATGAGAGAGATGCTCACCAGCCCCCTCCCCTGTGTGTCACGGTAGCATGGAGACAATCCAGCCCCAGCTGCAATCCACCAAGCAAAGCCACATGATGCAAGGCACTTTGTATATGGGACATGCCTGTCCTCAGAGAGCTTACAGTGTAACAATACAAGACAGGCCAAGGAAGCCTGATTATCTCTAAGTTGCAAATGGAGGAACACCCCTATTAAGTGATCTGCCAACGGTTAGCCAAACAGCCTGGCTACGTCTAGACTGGCATGATTTTCCGCAAATGCTTTTAACGGAAAACTTTTCCGTTAAAAGCATTTGCGGAAAATCATGCCAGTCTAGACGTAGCCAGGCTGTTTGGCTAACCGTTGGCAGATCACTTAATAGGGGTGTTCCTCCATTTGCAACTTAGAGATAATCAGGCTTCCTTGGCCTGTCTTGTATTGTTACACTGTAAGCTCTCTGAGGACAGGCATGTCCCATATACAAAGTGCCTTGCATCATGTGGCTTTGCTTGGTGGATTGCAGCTGGGGCTGGATTGTCTCCATGCTACCGTGACACACAGGGGAGGGGGCTGGTGAGCATCTCTCTCATTGTTAAAGGGGTTTAGGCTCAGCTTGACTGGCAGCTGTTGAAATTGGCGGGAGCTCCCAATGCAGCTGGGCTTGCAGCAGGAACGCACAGAGGGCACATGTCTCTCCCTGGGAGCCTGTCCTGGCTGATCCAGCTGCCTCAGGCACAGAGACAGTTCCCTTGTGTGCCAAGGTGGCCCAGTCCCTTACTGCCTGCAGGCTGGTGTGCCTGAAGGAAGGCTATGAAGGGTCGCTGGGATTTTCCATCCTTCCCTTCCATGGGTGCCAGCCCTTCCTCACTGTGTGGAGTGCTAGGGGAGGTGCACTTAAGAATATACATAAGAGTGGCTGGACCGGTCAGATCAAAGGTTCATCTAGCCCAGTGTCCTGTCTTCTCATGGTAGCCAATGAATGAACAGAGCAAGGAATCATCATGTGATCCCTCCCCTGTCGCCCATTCCCAGCCTCTGACAAACAGGCTTGGGATACCATCCCTGCCCATCCTGGCTAATAGCCATTGCTGGACCCATCCTCCAGTGCTTCATGGGAGCTGTATTTCTGTGACCTTCATGCCCTTATGTTTCTTTATGGGTGCTGCTCCCTAGCCGTACTACATCTCCCATGACACACTGCGGCACCTAAGTCACAGCTGGAAACTGTGGTGTATCATGGGAGTTGCAGTCCTACCAGGGCGCAGTGACCCTTAGAGAGAATGGAAGCACAAGAGACCTAGAACTACATCTCCCATGCAGCACTGCAGCAGCTCAGCTGGCAGTAGTAGCTGTCTTTGACTCAAGCTGCAATGAAACTCCCCTTGCACATTTTCCAATGGAAAATGCAGCTGAAATTCACTTTTTCACCCACAGAAAATTTCAACAAAACCCTATTTTCCGGGGGGCGAGAAATACATTCTGTTGTGAATTTTCCAGCCAGCCCTGCTGTTCTCAGGTACTTATTTGCTCCTTAGCACCCCAGTCTCTGGGTGCTTACCAATTTTAATTTCACAAGCCAATTACAGAGACAGAGGGTGCAGAACTGACCTTCATATGCCCATTTGACACTGTTTCACTGGGCTTGAACAAAAATATTGACTGGATGGCCCATTATTAAACCAGCTGTCCCGTCCCTGCATTTAAAACCTCATTGACATCAGAAGCTAAGTATGGGACACTTCTAGCTCACTCAATTAGCCTCATTAGCGCTGGTACTACAACTGATAGGTACTTTTTCTCTCTCTTTTTCTGTTATAAATTCTAGGTTCCCTTTTTTTTCCCCACTGAAGCTCCTCTGAAGAAGAAGGTTTTAGCCCACAATAGCTTACGAGTCTCTATATTTTTGTAAGTCTCGTAGGGGCCACCGGATCACGTCTTGTTTTTAAAGCTGCAGACTGTCACGGTGACCCTGCTGAGACTTTTGACCAGTTTTAATATATTTTGCAGCAATGCTACTCTCCCCATGTTACCTTGTCAAAGGTATTTAGGCACGTACCTCCCATTAGTTATAAGCGGAGTTAGGCAGCTACATCCCTTTGAGGGATGTAGGCAAGTGCCCCAAAAATCTAAGCCAATGCCCTAACCACTAGGCCATCCTTCCTCACTGATTCGGAGTGCTCATGCCTGGTATTTCCCTCTTCCAGTCTGCAGCAGCATGGACATCCGCAATGATGTCTCCCAGCTGCAGAAGCTGGAGAACTGCACTGTCATCGAGGGCAACCTGCAGATCCTCCTCATGTTCACCACCGCTGCCGAGGACTTCCGCGGCCTCAGCTTCCCCCGCCTTGTCATGGTCACGGAGTACCTGCTCCTCTTCCGGGTCTACGGGCTGCAGAGCCTGCGCGACCTCTTCCCCAACCTCGCCGTCATCCGTGGCACCAGCCTCTTCTTCAACTATGCCCTGGTCATCTTCGAGATGCCCCACCTCAGGGACGTCGGCCTGCACAGCCTGACCAATATCCTGCGGGGCTCGGTGCGCATCGAACGCAACCAGGAGCTCTGCCATATCTCCACCATCGACTGGGGGCTGCTGCTGCTCGACTCGGTGGAGAACAACTACATCGTGGGCAACAAGCTGGTGGAGGAGTGTGCCGACGTGTGCCCGGGCATCCTGGACGTGGAGAAGCCCTGTGTCCAGACCAGTGTCAATGGGCAGCTGGAGTACCGGTGTTGGACATCCAGCTTCTGCCAGAAAGGTTGGTGTCTGCCCTGCTCCAGTGCGTAGGGGTTAGTAAGCGAAGCAGCTCTGCTTTGGGATGGGGGCTCGGATGGGAGGCTGCGTGATGATGTAGATCAGGGGTGACCAGCTTGAGTGCTGCATGTAGCTTTTCAAAGAAAAAATCGCCACTCCTGAACTTGGGGCTCTGAAAGGGGCAGTGTCTGGTGCAGCCTTCAAAATGGCTGCCTTCAAAATGGCCGCCCTTAAAAGGCTTGACTAAACGGTGGCCCGGGGGGGGGGGTGCTTTTTCCCCCCCCCCCTCGGCTCTTTGTGCTGTATCCACCACTATGCTGGCTCTTCACCTGTAATGGGTTGGCCACCCTGGTGTAGAGAGGGGGGTTGAGGATGTAATGGGGGAATATGCTTCCCTGGAGATGGTCAAGGTGGTGCTAGGGCATGCTGAGCTGTTCCAGGGGCGGTGAGTATAATAGGTGGGGGAAGGCACTGCCGGCGTGGCCCCACCCAGACTCTGCCCCCAGAACGTGATACAGAGGCAGCAGCATGGGGTGAGTGTGGGACACGCAGCTCCGCAGGAGCCGGTACACACAAGGAGCCGGCTTTTAAGGCAGCTCCCCATGTGTACCAGTTCCCACCTGCTCCTCTGCACAGATACAGATGCAGCACTGTGAGGCGGGGGGGAGGCTTGCATGTAACCGTGAAGGTTAACTAATGAGCCCAGGCTTGTCGGTTAACTGTTTAACCATGTACATAATGATTCTCTACTACCTATTTATTTCATTGGGTGACCCCTAGTTCTTGTGTTATGGGAACAAATAAATAACTTTTCCTTATTCACTTTCTCCACACCTAAGTTAAATATCTTCAAGCCACCAGGGCCTGATGAAATGCATCCTAGAATATTCAATGGACTGGTTGAGGAGGTATCTGAGCCATTAGCTATCATCTTTGCAAAGTCATGGAAGTCGGGAGGGATTCCAGAAGACTGGAAAAGGGCAAATCTAGTGCCCATCTATAAAAAGGGAAATAAGAACAACCCAAGAAACTACCGACCAGTCAAATTTAACTTCTGTGCCAGGGAAGATAATGGAGCAAATAATTAAGGAATCCATCTGCAAACATCTGGAAGACAATAAGGTGATAGGTAATAGCCAGCATGGATTTGCAAAGAACAAATCATGAGAAGCAAATCTGATAGCTTTCTTTGATAGGATAACAAGCCTTGTGGATAAGGGGGAAGCAGTGGATGTAGTATACCTAGACTTTTTAAAAGCATTTGATATAGTCTCACATGATCTTCTTATCAATAAACTAGGGAAATCCAATGTAGATGGGGTTAGTTGTATAACTGGCTGGATAACTGTTCTCTGAGAGTAGTTATTAATGGTTCACCCTCATGCTGGAAGGGCATAAGAAGTGGGATTCTGCAGGGATCAGTTTGGGGACCGATTTTTGTTCAGTATCTTCATCAACGATTTAGCTATTGGCATAGAGAGCACGCTTATTAAGTTTGCAGATAATACTAAGCTGGGAGGGGTTGCAATTGATTTGGAGGAGAGGGTCATAATTCAACATGATCTGGACAAACTGGAGAAATGGTCTGAGGCAAATAGGATGATGTTTAATAAGGACAAATGCAAAGTGTGCCACTTAGGGAGGAACAATCCATTTCACACATACAGAATGGGAAGCGACTGTCTAGGAAGGAGTCCTGCAGAAAGGATCTAGGTGTCATAGTGGACCACAAGCTAAATATAAGTCAACCATGTGACACTGTTGCAAAAAAAGCAATCAGCTACGTCTACACTGGCATTATTTTCCGGAAATGCTTATAACGGAAAAGTTTTCCGTTAAAAGTATTTTCGGAAAAAGCGCGTCTAGATTGGCAGGATGCTTTTCCGCAAAAAAGCCCCGATCGTCATTTTCGCGATTGGAGCTTTGTTGCGGAAAAGAAATCTCTGCTGTCTACACTGGCCCTTTTCCGGAACAGTTTTCTGGAAAAGGACTTTTGCCCGAACGGGAGCAGCATTGTTTTTCTGGAAAAGCACTGATGATTTTACATTAGATCATCAGTGCTTTTCCGGAAATACAAGGGGCCAGTGTAGACAGCTGGCAAGTTATTCCGGAAAAGCGGCTGATTTTCCGGAATAAGTGGCCAGTGTAGATACAGCCATCATGTTTCTGGGATGCATTAACAGGAGTGTTATGAGCAAGACACAAGAAGTCATTCTTCTGCTCTACTCTGCTCCTAAAGCTTTCTCCCCCTCCCCTCCGGGCTCAATTTTTTTTAAGTGAAACTGCCCCACAGCTGCATTTCTGAGTGGCGTGCGGGTGGGGTGAAGCAAGCGGGGATCCACCTTGGGGCTCCCCACAGCATTCAGAGGGCAAATCTGGTGGCTTGGTGGGCTGAATCCGGCCCGCAGGTTGTATTTTGCCCAGGCCTGTAAAAGGATGTTACAAAGAGGAGGGAGAAAAAATATTTTCCTTAACCTCTGAGGACAGGACAAGAAGCAATGGGCTTAAATTGCAGCAAGGGAAATTTAGGCTGGACATGAGGAAAAACTTTCTAATTGTCAGGGTGGTGAAGCACTGGAATAAATGACCTAGGGAGGTTGTGGAATCTCCATCACTGGAGAGATTTCAGAGCAAGTTAGACAAACATCTGTCAGGGACGATCTAGATGGTGTTTGGTCCCGGGACTGGTCTTGATGATCTCTCAAGGTTCCTTCCCCAATTATGTGATTCTACCTGTAATGTGGCTTATTGAAGGTGCTTATATGCTGTTTATAGTTATTCCTGTGGAGGAAGGGAAACAAGGTATGCTAGATGCTTTTATCCTGATATAACTGTTCATTCTAATGGGCGTGTTGGTGTAACTCTAGCAGTAAAAAAATCGCACTCATACCTGACACAGCTGTAGCTGGACAATATCTGCACATGGAGCAGGCTGAGAAGTGATGGGGTGGTGCAGCATTACGACTTTATTTGCCAGAATCCAGTAGAGCCACTGAGCAGCCGATGTAAGCTGTGCCTGTCATTTCAGGGGCAATCAATACAATTAAAAGGCTACAGTAATAATACTAAGTAAAGGAAATACTGCACAAAGCATTGGCATGTGGAACTCACTGCTACCAGATGTAATCATGGTGGTGTGCTCAGCAAGATTCGTAAAAGGGACTGGACATTTGCACATGGTACTCGAACTTCAGTACCGGGCAAATTAACTGAAACTATCTTAAAGAATAAAATTGTCAGTCACATGGATGAATATAATTTGTTGGGGGAAAGTCAACATAGTTTCTGTAAAGTGAAATCATGCCTTACTCATCTACTAGGCTACGTCTGGACTAGCATGATTTTCTGGAAATGCTTTTAACGGAAAAGTTTTCCATTAAAAGCATTTTCGGAACAGGGAGTCTAGATTGGCGCGGACGCTTTTCCGCAAAAGCACTTTTTGCGGAAAAGCGTCCGTGCCAATCTAGACACGCTTTTCCGCAAAAAAAGCCCCGATCGCCATTTTCGCGATTGGAGATTTTTTGCGGAAAACAAATCTGAGCTGTCTACACTGGCCCTTTTACGCAAAAGTTTTGCGCAAAAGGACTTTTGCCCGAACAGGAGCAGCATAGTATTTCCGCAAGAACACTGACAATCTTACATGAGATCATCAGTGCTTTTGCGGAAATTCAAGCGGCCAGTGTAGACAGCTGGCAAGTTTTTCCGGAAAAGC